GATCAAGTTTCTTCTTTTTTTTTTTTATCTCGGCTCCAGTTCAGTCTCGATAGTTTCTTTTTGACGAGTTCCGATCGTAGCTATGGCAAGTCTAGTATATTTCTGATCCCATACACATTTACTCGGCTACAATAGTTACTGAAAAAAGTAGATAAAATTATGTTTTTAAATAAAAATTTAGCTTATTTCAAATAGTTTTGTGAATCGAATCAGAAAATCTCATGAAAGACAAAAAAAAAACAAAGTACACAAAAACAAAAAAATTTTCTTACTAATAATGTTAATTCATTGATTTTATTATCACTTAAATTGAGATCATGTAAAAATTCAAGTTTCGTATGACGTCGATGAATACAACATTGATCTTGTTGATCAGATTTTAACATAGAATTTAATCCCATTGTTAAATTTGTTGATGTAAGAACTTTATGACGAGATACTGATCGACTTCGACGTCTTTTTGTTATGTCAATTTGTGTATTTGATTCTTTTAATTCAGGTCGAAAACAAATATTTTCTGATGTTATATCATATTGACGATTTTTTCTATAGGATTTTTCTCGTCGAGATATTGTTGTTGTTGTTAATGTTTCAATTAAAATATTATGTTGCAAACGATTAAATGATAAATCAAGCATTTTTAAACGTGATGGATATGATGATATATTTGATGAATCAGTAAGAAGATTATGTGAAAGATTTAATGATGTTAAATATGGTACAAGACAACAAAGCATTGGTGGTAATACTTCAAAACGATTATAAGATAAATTTAAATTATTTAAACGACTTATTATTGATGCAGAAGAAGAAGATGATGAAGATTTTGTATTTGATCCTGGTTGTTGATCATCATTAGCTGATTGAGTTATATGATTTTGCCAAAGACATAAACGTTTAACTGGACTACATAATGATGGACATGAAGTTGAATTTTCATAAGCTATTTTTAATTTTGATCTTCGTTCAAGTTCATCATCATCATCAGGTGATGGAAGATTATTATTATTATTATTATTTGTTGTTGTTGTTATTTCAGCAAAAGTTGTTGAACGAGGTGGAGCTGATGGTGTTACAGAAAAAATTGATAAATTAGCTGTTGTTATTGATGATGATATTGTTGGAGATTTTGTTTCATTAATATTTAATTTAGTTGGTGGATTCATAGGAATTTGAGAACGAAATTCACTTGTTGTTCGATTTTGATTTGTTGAATGTCGAGCTAAAAACAAGATTTTTAAATGAAATATAAATTTAATCTAAATGATTTGATAGTTTTTACATACATGTCATATGACGTCCTGTTTTCTCAGCATTTTTAATGATGACAACAGTTGGTGCTGGTAATTCTTTTAATGAATTATTAGCAACATTAAGATCAGTTAACATTGGTGCTGACCACATTTCAACAGGCAAATATTGAAGTTGATTATGAGCTAAAATATTTCAGAATTTATTATTTTTATATAAGTTCAAAATAAGTCAATACAAATTCTATTCAAAAACATATTCAAATGATATACATAAAATTTGACAGAATATATTGTATTTCGAATGTCAAACGAAAACAAACTATACGGATGATCTATATTTTGGAACCAATTAACTTATTTTATTATCAAAGCATCTGAAGAAGTATAGAAAAAAAAACAATCATCATTTCTTAAAGGATTATACTTGAAAATGTATCTTCGATCGCAATGTCACATCATTATTATCGTACTACTAGCAATTCTTAACGAATTTTTGAGCTTGAATTTTGATTGTGGATGATATTTAGTATGATGAACAAATTTTGAGAACAATTTAATAATCATTACATCAAAGTTTTACGAAACTCAATAACAAACATTGATCGCACATATCTTTTTGTCACATGTTAAATTTTACAATCGTTGAAATAATTGAATATTTATTTATTTAGCATTATCAATGCAATATTACAGGAGAAAGACAACTAGTACTGTTAAGTCGTTGCAGAATTGCCATAGAGTATTAGATACTCATCTCGTTTTCTTATTGATTATTTACCCTCACCATACTGAAGATCGTAACGATATAATTTAGTAGGGAATTAACAATTATAAACGACAAATTTTTAAGTTATTATGATGATCGCTTTCGACATTTTTTTGTCACGACTTATGACTATCTTTCATTAACGTTCATAAGAACAACATGAAGTAAATATAATAATATTCAAAATCGAATTGAAAGGCATTTTTTTAAGGCAATACAGCTCATATTTCATAGTCTCTCTAGATGAAATATAATCTCTTACTGTCGTAAACTTGCTTTACTAAATGAAAACATAAATGCTAACATTGATGTTCTTTGACCTGAATCCAAATCGATTGTACATTTCATAAAAAATTAGATTCTTGTTTTACAATAAAGAAATATTCATATTTTGATTTCGAACAGTAATAACATCTTGTACAATGTTTTGACAAGGGTTTTTACACTTTTACAATTAAGACATCATTAAAATCGAAAGATATACTGTCTTTGATTGCGAAGTTTTTGTTTAATGTTCTTTTAAATTTAAGATCGATTCGAAACTATGTGAAAGGATGTCATTCTTAGTATTTTTCTATTTAGTTCGGCAAGTTTACGGTGGAAAAAAGAAATTATATATCGTGTAGATACACTATGAAATTTAAGCTATATTTTGTCAAAAATCATACAGTTGAATTTCTCTGCAGATATAGGCAAACAATGACATCTTCTGGATTTACGACGAATTTTTGAGCATACACTATTGTATATTTATCATCTTGTTAAATCAATGGAAACTTGAAACATAACCTTGATACTTTTGAGTATATGCAAAGTATAGTGAATAATATTAACATAAAAGTTATATCTCTTATTGAAGAATATTGAACTTTAAATTTACCTGCATAAGCTCTTTGTAATGAACGAAGTTGAAACATAGCTGGTGGTAAAGAAGCTAAAGCATTATGTGAAACATCTAATTCAGTTAATTGATGACATAACCAAATATTATTATCATTTGGTAATTCACCTAATTGATTATTTGATACATTTAATATTCTTAATGAATACATTTGAAAAAGAAATGATGGTAAATATTCTAATGAATTATATGATAAATCAATGCGTGTTATACAATGAAAAAGTAAATGACGATTTGATATTGTTATATCTGATAATTGAGTAAAACTATCTTTATTAACAAATATTGATGCTTGTATAAACCATAATGGATCAAGAGTTTTCAATGGACCATAATGATGCCATTGAATACCAACTGGTATTGATGGAATAGATGATGATGGTATATGATTTGTTGTTGTGGAAGGTAAACGTGTTGTAAAATGTGTTGTAAAATGTGTTTTAATATGTTCAAAACTTGTTGTTAAAATTTGATATCGTTTACTTGAACGTCGTTTTAATATAGGTTCAATAGAATAATTTGATTCGGCTATATTATTATTGTCATCTTTTTTTTCATCATTTGTATTAATCCAAATTTTAGTTAAATCAATAGTTAACCAAAATTGTTCATCAAATAAATATAAAATATTTGATGTTAATTGTCGTTTTGTTAATTTAAATTCATTATCTTGTAAAGCACGATATTTAAGTAAATGTCCAATAAGATAAGACTGTTTACATGAATTAAATGCAAGAAATTCTTTATCGGTTGCAACAGAATTCATAAGATATTCAATAAGTTGAACATTACCAAGACGACACACACTTGATAATGCTGTTGAACGTGTTATAAAACATTGGTCATCATTGGATGGTCGACTAGAAATTTCTTCATATGGTAAATTAACACTAGCACCATTTGAAATAAGTAAATGAACTAATTTAAAATTTTGTTGTTCAATAGCTTCATGTAAAGCTGTTCGACCATTATTTGAATAAACATCAAGATTAAATGGACAAAATGATGAATTAGTTTTTTGAAGTGTTGCATTAAATTCTGATAGAGTTGCTATAGAATCTATTTATAAATATAAATAATTTATGATTAAATATTAAAAATTTCATTACTTTCAGAAGTAAAATAACTATGTGTTGATCGACGTTTAAATAATTCAACTTCTTGCGTAGTTAAAGCATGAACACGAAATGAAAGAAGATATTCAACAACATCAACATATCCACCAAGAGCAGATAAATATAAACTTGTTTGTTCATTTAAATCTTGTGCTTAATAAAAGAAAAATAAAATTGAATTATGAAATATCAACAATGATATATAAGAGATTGAATGTAATTTTTCATTAATTTCTTTTTATATTTCACTATAGAAGTATTAAGAAACAGATCAAATTCATATAATCTACTTGAGACAAGTCTATTGAAAAAAATTTCATTAATACAAATGTTTCCACAATTTCAATGATGCTAGCGGTTCCAATATATATCTAATCATACAAAATTCAATGGTCACCTTATGGAGTACATTGATTTTCAAAAACGTCGATTTAAGTCCTTGAAAAAAACTAAGTCAAATTATCTTATATTTAAAAGTTCTATGCGTCTTCATCTCCTATTTCGAACGGCGAAAATCGTAGCTCTATATCTTGTTTCTTTCAAAATTTATTCGCAATCAAAGACTCTCCGGTAACTTTTGGACCATTCTGTATATTGAATCATTTTCTAGAAAGTAAACAATAATTTGTATTGTTTTGACGTTTGGATAAGTCAGTATTTTTGTCTTTCGACCGTGTTTTTTTTTTCATATCAAAATTAATTAAAAGGAAAAAAGACGAATGTGTACACTGAATGTTTGTTTGTGTAGTCCTTTTATTTTTATATTGTCACAAGTGCGAAGAAGTCGTCTTTTAATTTAAATAAAAGAAAACGAAGTTACACTATACCTAATGGGAAGATTTTTCCCCCCGCACTCTTGATTTAAGTCCTATGAATCTTTTATTTGCTATATATATCATTATCATTCAAGAAAAAAAAACCTTGTATTTATTTCAGTGTTTTATCATGCCATTCTTAAGATAAGATTAAACATTGAATCATTTTTTTAAAAAAAAGTGTAAATCGACACTTGCAATGTCCATATATCTTATACATTTTATCTTTCGAAATTTAATCCTATGCATATATACTTTAACATAAATATCACCAATTGTAAAAAAAAATCCATTTAATCAATGAACAAGTATCGGATTCTTAACCTAGTCAAACATTATAAATTTCTAACATAATAGGAACAAGTTTATTCAGTCAATAAAACCTTTGAGTAAAATCTATTTAAGATAAGACATATGGTAAATAAATAATATACATACCATTGAGATTAAATGGAAAAACATATGATCGTTGTAAACGATCAACATAAATATTACATGATGAAAATGGATAATTGGGATAATTTAATAAAAGCTGTACAATAGATAAATGACCTTGTGAACAAGCAGCAGCAAATGGAAGAATTTGTTCGAGTGTTGCAACAGAAACTAAATGTGGAAAATGCTAAGAAAACCAAAAAGCATTAATTAATAAAAACAAACATATCGTCTTACAGTAAGAAGCATTTGAACAATATCAAGATTTCCAATTCGACAAGCTATATAAAGTGGAGAATATGATGTTTGACGATGAGGTTTTGCTATTGCTCCATGTTTTAATAATAATTTTACTAAATCAACATTGCCTGTTCGACAAGCTCTATATTAAAATAATTTAACAGAATAAAAAAAAAAAAAGTCAACAGATATTTTTTGTTTTTGGAAAATAAATACCTATACAAAAAATTCAATGTATCACTTCCATTTGGACTTGAATTTAATACCGCTTTAGCTTGTGCACCCAAATGAGCAAGACATTCTTCTGCTTTGACTACATCACCATCAAAACAAGCATCAAGTAATTCTAAATAAAATTCTTATTTTTATATTTTTGTTTTGTTTTCTTTGATTACTTTTTTCTGTTTCTTGTCGAACTTGTTGTCGAAGTTCAACTTCATTTTGTATCATTTCAACTGAATCAACTTTACGATTTTTTTGTGCTAATAATAATGGTGTATCACCATATTTATCTTTAATTGTTACATCAGCTTTATGAAATAATAGTAAAGCTAAGATTTTTTCATTACCAACTTCAGCAATCATATGTAAAGGTGTCTAAAGAAATATTAATATTAGATTTAAATATATTAGAAAAGAAAAGAAAAACAAGAAAGAAAAAAAAAGGAAAAACTCTTATTTTAATATCTATCTATTCAATTATTTGATAAAGTTTTTTCGTGTTGTTTTATGAAATCGAATAGGTTTTTGAAGTTTTTCAAGTGTTTTTTTAACTTTTGTTAATAATGGATATTTTCCTTGTCCACAAAAAATACCATTAAAATCATCTAAATCAAGTGCCCATATCATTGCACCCGATAAACGTTGTTTAGCAATAAAATGACATTTTTTTTCTATAGATTTCTCATTGTCATAACCAATCCATTGATCATCTTTATATGCAAATGGTACTTCCTGTTCTTTATCAAAATCAGTATGCCATTCATTTTTTTTTATTAAATCACATATTTCATAATACGATAAAAATCCAAGATTTTTAGTATAACTACCAGGTAAACCAGGACCTCTTGATGGAGCATATGGTCTTATATCAGGATTATTCTTTTGTTGTAATTTAAATGTTCGACCATAGAAACTAAGACCAAGGACAAGTTTTGATGGTGGACAACCACCATCAATCCATGCATTAACTGTTGCTTGTTGATTTAAAAATCGTTGATCACCTATTTCAGTTGAACGTGGATATAAAGGACTATTAAAACCTATATGAGTATTCCAATTACCTAAAAAAAGTGGCTTAATTCGATCTGATAGAAAACAGTATTGGACAGTATTATAAGAGTAAAGTATTTTTGATATTTTTTCTAATATGCTTCATGCATTTATTCCAATGTAAATAATGATTTGAATAGTCAATGAATTTCTCTATCAGATGCATTGTATACCATGTTTTCATAGATGAACTAAGCAAGGAAATGTCTTAAAAAATGAAAAATGCCATTTTTCATTTTCTAGGACGTTTTCTCTCTTACAAGGAAACGTTTCTAAGTGTCAAATTGCTTTCGAGTCACTAATATAAGTATCATGCAGGTTCTGATGAGCTATAAATACTCTGAAATGAGATCGGGTTAATAGCTTATTACTGTCGAGATACTGTTGTGGTTCCCCTTGGGATTAGTAACAAAACTGAGTTTTCAAATTTTTCCTTAAAATTTTTTATTGAGATACTCCTTAATGAGAATAGTTTATAAACGAAAATTTCAGATATTTTGGTGGTTTCTATCTTAGGATATAACTATGATAAAAGCATGTTTTTCAAACCGTTCATATACAACGGCTAATTTTGCTGTTCTTATTTCAGAATAGGTGCAATCAAAAATCTTTAACTTTTACAATGAGCTACTCTCGTTAAGATCTATTTCTATGAAAAGTTTTAAGTTGAAATTCAAAGCTCAATTTTCCTGAGGAAGATTACGACATTTTGCTAAACAATACAGTATCTCGATAGTAGTAAGCTATTAGCCCGAACTCTTTTCTACGTGTTCATAGCTCATTATAACCTACAATTTGTCACTTAGAAGTATTCCCTTGTTAGACCATCTATGAAAATATGGTGTAGAATGTATCTGATAGAGAATTTCGTTAGTTCTTCAAATCACTATTTGGATCTGATGCAGATGCGTAAAATATAATAGAAAAAAGTCAAAACTACTTTGCTCTTATAATTTTGTTCAAATACTGTATATTTCAATAAACTATACCATGATAATCATAAGCCATTAGATTAATATAATCAAGAAATGGTGTAATTTCTTTAATATTATAACTAGCTTCTATTTTTGGTCGATATGCAGCAACAGCTGCTGTTAATAAAAGTCGTGTACGATTAGTTAGAGAAGCTTCATTTTGAAAAGCTAATCGATAATTTTGAACAAGTAAAGAAAATGTTCGACGATCTTTATCTGTTTCAGGATATTCCCAATCAAGATCTAAACCATTAAATTTATATTTTCGTAAATATTTTATTGTATTTCGTATAAATTCTTGTCGTCGTTTATTAGATTCAAATATATAACGAAATATTGTTGAATTAACAGTTGCACCACCTAATGATAATAAAGTTTTCATATGTCGATTTTTATTTTTTAATAAATTAAATTGTTCATACATTCCCATTAATGATGATGAATTTATTGAATTATTTACTCTAATTGATTGTATATCATTTATTTCAAATGGACTTGGACTTCGAGTTTTGATATTAATATTTGCAAATGCATAATAAAGATGTGTACAAAGTAATGGATCAATATATGATGGAATAAAATATCCATAACTTTGTCGATATTGAGACCAATTAGTAAAATAACAACCAACAACAAATTGTTGGCTATGTATAGAATAAATAAATACTGCAATTAGCAGTATAAAATAGACTATAAATGACTTCATTTGTTCATATAGAAAATATTTTGTTATTTCTTATTTCTATTAATCTTAAATCTATTCTCTTTTAATCTGACTAAATAACAGACAACTGTTTAAATAAAGAATAAAAATATCTACAAGCATTGTCTGATGACAATGACAAATATTGATCAAAAGAGAATAAAAAACAAAAGAAAGAAAGATTGATCTATACGTTTATTTTGTTATTTATCATGATAATACTTATTCTTACTTTATAATCATAGTGTTCACCCGTTTGTACATTTAAATCAGCACCATGATCAATAAGTACCATTATAAATTCTAATGATGAATCAAGAACTCGAGTATCATTTTGAATAGTTGCTTGTGCAGCTGATATACATGCTGTATGTAATGGTGTACAACCAAAACGATCAGTTGCATCAATATTATTAATTTCATCACCTGTTAGAAGATCCTATTTATAAAAAGAATAATTCATATAAATAATATATTTTAATTTAAATTAAATATTACTTTAAGTAGATCAACATTTAAATAAAGTGCAGCTTGATGAAGAAGTTTACCTGGATAATTATCATCATCATCATCGTTATTCATTGTCAAAACATATGATATTTATTCCATAAGTTATGTCACGGACAAGAAATTTTTTGTTCTTAATGAAATATTTCAAATAAATAATACATTCAAATTATTCGATTTTGTTTTTGAAATAAAGTTTTAATCAGAAAGACGCAATAAATTCTATAAAAAAAGTTACAGAAAATGTTCTGACATAATACAATCCGTTGATTCTATTGTCATTATTTTAATTTGTATACGTTTTAACCAATCGAATTCAAGTAGTAACCTCTGTTCAGATGATTAAAAAGAAAATGATTGGTGAAAATGCTCAAGAGAGTACTTGTGACTCTATGTTAACTTGTCAAAAAGTCGTGTTGTTTATTTGTTTTCACATTAAAAACTAATTTTTCAATAATTATATTCGACGGCCTAATACAATTAATAGTTACAAGACACGCTGAAGCGGAAAACCAAAAAAAAAAAAAAAGAAATTCTCAGGACAATTCGCAATAGATTCATCAGTTATGTTATTTGAACATTTTTCTCAACAGTATAGCATGCATTGTGTGCTTGTTAAAGTATGCAATTATATTGAATAATCTAAATATATTTTCTCATTATCTAATTAATTACTTCAATTGAAATTAGAGAAGAAATAGAATTCTGACATCTCGTAATGTTTGCTGAAACATTTGAAATGTGTTTTAAGTCACATAAAACTCACAAGGAAATTTAATCATTCAGATATTATTTAAAATATTTTAAAAGTAGAACGTGACGTAAGATTCTAGAGACTTCTACAAATAGATAGCCCTCACAATAATAACCAATGAAATTGCTTTGTTTTCGTAAATTTTATTTTACCCGAAATGGGACTTTTTATTATTTTATCTATTTGCCGATAAAGTTCTTTCTTATTTGAAGTCAACAGAAAACGTCAGAGTTAGTCATCGAATGAATCATTCGTGGTTACTTATCAACAAGCAAACAACTAAATATGTTTGTCAGTAACCAACATACCATTTGCTTATCTATAAATTTACATTTGTTATTCATGTGATTCCTAAAATTTCTCGAAGATTCATGAAATTTCAAAATTTAATGAAGTTTGATAAAAATGTTCTAAAGTTCCATGACACTTATTGAAGTCTTCTAAAGTCCGATGTTGCTTTCTCGATTGATATGTGAGGAGAAGAAAAAAAAACATCTCTTATTTCAATCGAATATGAGCTAAATCCTTACAAAAAGTACTCCGCCTTTTTTTTTTTAATAATGGCATTGGTTAACATAGGTTTTCATTTACTTGCCTTAAAATAACCTTTAAATAATAAAATAATTTCAATCAAAAGTGAATAAAATACTGAAAATGGTGTCATTATATGTGTAATAACCAACCATTTTTCAAAAATTATCGAAAGTGACAGCTCATAAGTCTAAACAATGCTAATTGAAAATGACTGCTACTAAAACATATGATTCGAGATCAAAGATCAAAAGTCGATTCAAACATGAGAAAGAGAACCATTGCTTATATAATAAAATGTATTTAATATGTTCTTTCACATACAATGAGCAATAGTCTCAACGTGTTGTCTGCGCGAATAGGTCAAATATATGAGTAGTAGACTCATTTTCGGACAATAACAACACAACGATGGGCTGGAGTGTGATTTTTCTTTGTATAGACGAAAGTGCAATAAAGAAAGAGATGACTTGTTTGTTCTATCTCTATCTTATTTTTATTCGATTACATAGACATAACGATGAGAATATTTTTGACTACCATACATTGTTTCATCATAGACTTATATATATATATAATATGTATCTCTTTTTTGTTGTTGTTATATATCATTCATCCAGCTGTATGCCCTTTGTCTCGTCATAAAACATACATGTGTGATAATAGAGTCAACTAAGTTGCAATGATTAACATATACTATTGTCGACAATAAGAGCGTGAGAGTGAGTGGTGCAGCTGTTTCGTAATCAGTCATTTTTCTCCTTCTTCGATACCGTTGACTAATACTACTAGTTTAAATACATATATATATATATATATATAAAATAGATTCTTTGATTACTCA